AGACAAAGAAAGGGGCTCTCGATCGCGCCGATCTCGGAAAACAGCCAAGCAGCGGATCGCAGCCTCGAAGACCTCTAATTAAAACCTCAAGCATTGGATAAGAGAAGGCTTTAGGTTCAAGATCGTGCACACTCGCGCAGACAGTACGGACGGGAGAGGGAGGGAGGGAACAAAGACGGCGATTGTCCGGCTACGTGCCCCTCTCCTGCTCAGTCTCGCTGCGGAGTCCTTGGCACCGAGCGACCGGTCGGCGACCCGCGACAGACAGCGACCTATGTAGCAAAAGCTTCCTGAAATGCCGACCGAATGCAAGCAGCGGCTTCGGGACGAACTGCTGCTGCTGCTGCTGCTGCTGCTACTCCTAGAGCACAATGCACTTCCGCTTCTCGCGCGCACGCATGTAACGGTTAGTGCAACGCGTCACGCACGCGCCACCGATGTCACTGAACCTCCCTGCCCCCCCCCCCCCTCCGAAACATCATTTTTCTTTCTTTTTTTTTTGGTTGTTTCATGAATAAAATTTCGTTGAGCATTAACTGAAATTCAATCGCGCGCCTCTTGCATTGCCTATATATATGTCTCATTCAATCGTTGCTCTTTTTTCGTCGACAAGTCAAATCGTCAGCGTACGAAAAAAAAAATAGTCGATTGCGATGCATGAAATTCAACGCGCACGCGCCATAGGACACCGTTGTTAATGCAGTTGCATACGAAAGTGGAAAGGGAGAGAAAACACCACGAACGTCCCGGAAAATATATTCTAAGTATAATAATGAGTCCAAGCCTCGTTAAAAAGTTAAGTATGGACAAAGTATATATACGTGTAGTCAGCCGGTCATTGACATAGAGCGCGCGAGACTATGCTAATCACGACACATCACGTACATACAAACGCACGATGCCAATTTTTATGTTGAAATTTGTTGACCTTCATACGACCGAATTTGACTCTGTTGTGACTGGCGCGCTTGCTTCAACGGCGGTTCGATATAGGAAAAAAAGATTTTTTTCTTTACGCTTACCTCATGCTTCAATAATCGTAGGCGTTTGAATCGAACTTCTGATTTATTATAAATACAGCTCCTACGCAGGTTTACGTAAGTTTTACAGCTCTGCAGCTTTTTTTTTGTTTTTCCAAACAGCTGCTGTGCGAATTTCGCAGACGTACAAAATTGGAATAATATACTTTTCAATCTAATTGACGAATACGAAGGTTTTGTAATTGAAGATACAACGGCTTCGATACATAAGTAAATCCGTTGTATAAGTTGGCGAATATTTTACTTGGATGTCGATTGTAATCTGAAAAAAGATACAATGACAATCAAAACATTGTCAAAAGTCGTTGGAGAGCGTGGCAAACAACGAAGAGTTCTTGAGAAAGAGTCACGCGCGCGCTTAATTCTGATCGGCGACAAAACGTGGGTATGCAAGCGAGAGAGAGAGAGAGAGAGAGAGAGAGAGAGAGCGAACAGATAAGTTCATTCACCGAGCGACGAGCTCACTCGCTGCCGAGTGCATGGGAATCCAATGCGCGTACGCATCGCTTACATGACTAATCGAGGTCGTGAACCCTCGGAGAGGCCGACTTCCAAAAAAACTCTTGAATACACATTTCTCCTGTCGATTATGAGCCTCTTCTTTCACGTCTTCACTCGGCGAGGACTTTTCTTCTTTGTAATTTGTTATTGGGTGCCATGAATATTCTATCCGGCTTGCCCAATCGCGCAACATTGTTTCCGTTCGCTCTTCGTTACCTAGAACCATCTTGTCGTGCCGACGGAATGAATTACGTAAATCAGTTTTGAAGTTTTCGAACGGAAGCACGTAACACCTTGGCGTATAAAAAATAGTGTAAAGACGGATGTGTTTATTGCCAAGGTTAAGAAACTTGCCGAAGGTATACCGCCGCGTGACAATGATACGAACTACACATGACACGTGTACCTCCAAAAAGAAAGCGCCATGTCTGCAGTCTCTCGAGGGGAGCAATACAATTGCGCGACCTTAGATTTGGGTGTGATGTTCGTATATCCCAAGGACTCGTCAAAAAGACGAAAAATTCACGCAGATATGCACTACGTGTACTTTTAATCGACGATTAAATAAGCGATTACGCGCGTACGCTGCATGATGCCTTGAGCCTTACCTTTGTTAGAAATCACGGTTTACACTTTTAACTTCTTTAGATAATACATTTTTTATCGGTTGACTTTGAAATATAGATACGTATGAAAATTTCGTGATAGCATCCCTGTACTGTTCCAATATTCATGCAAAAGATTAGTAGATCAAGGACGAGAAAAAACCGATGCTTTGTACAAATATGTAAGTATCTGAAAAACAATGAAAAGTGGCGTCCCACGTCACCTTTCGTTAAAAAATAACAGTAGCGTCACTCGAGCAAAAAGTTGTGGGGACTCGAAAAAGTTACGTCTATGTTGGTGCGTTCAAAGGAACCGTAACAATTTGTGCACAGATCGGGTGCATCTCGGGGCAAAACAATATTAGTAATGCCGACGGGAGGTTGGAAAAATGTGAGCGTATGTCCCAAGCGAAAAAGCAAAATGTTCTCGTCAACGGAGCCTCGGAACTCTTGTGCCATAAACTCATGAAAATGAATTATTGCTTCGATAATGTGGGACACGCTCTCAGGTACTTCTACCCGAAGGCTGCACAAGCTCGAGTCTCCCTCCCCCTCGCTGGTACCGTCCTGGGCGCACGCCGTCCGAAAAACAAAGAAAATCTTTTGCGGACGACCGTAAAAATATTAACTGACCGTTCGACGAACAAGAGAACAAGAGAGCGAGAAAAAGAGAGGGTTGAACTTTTTATTAGGAAGTTATCCTGAAGGATTGTATTAAAGAAGGCTTGAGAAAACGAAGGGTTAGTGCTTCCGCTTTTTATAACGGGCCATCCGTTTTCCCCGTTTTTCTCTTGCCGATTTTTGTATTGCTCGCGACCTTTTTTACCTTATCTGCTGGGCTTTCTAGACAAGCCTAATTGGATTCTTTCTCTATTCTATTCTCGAAAAAAGAAAAAAAGATGCGTAAAAACTGTCGTTTTAAAATGCATTATTTTTTTCATTCCAAATTCAAGGATATATAAGAGGACGAATGAAATTGTTCGAATATAGCCAGCGATTCCTCGCGAAACTGCGATTTTACGAATACGTGCGTATATCCACGAGAGACTGAAAAAGAATTCTGCGAACGGCGTCAGATAATGGCGAAAAAGGACGAAGAAGAGTTCGACGTCCTTTGATTCGACTCTAGAATTTTTTTTCGACTCTCCTAGCCGGCCAAAGACGAGATTAAAGTCGAAGGAGAGAGAGAAAGAGACAGAGGACGACGCGCTCGTCGATAGCAGACATAGAAAAGGACATTAATCCATCGTCCTTCGTCGGTCATAAGGTTCAGCGTCCAAATCCAAGGCTTGTAGACTTTCGTGTACCCACTCTCTTCCTGCATACGAGTAAAGGACACATCGATATTCATATCTTGCACTGATGAGAAGAGAAACGGAAGCGGAGCCCACGAGAGAAATAAGAAAAAAAAATGCAAATTCACGCAGGTATGCGCCCTTCGTTCCTTTCTTTCAATTTTTCTTTTTTTTTATTTTTTGCCAATGAACTCGCGAGTCGAGGTTCCGAGGTTCGTCGAACTCACGACGCAAGGACGTTGCACTGCGCGCGTATTCGCGCGGCGCGTGCTTACTTTTTCTCGCTCGCGTCAAGTGCGTCGCCCCCTTTCTCCTAACTACTAACTTGCGTGGGAGAGAGAGAGAACGAGCGATGCGAGACAGTGAAAGGGGATTCACCTAGGAAGATTCAGCGAGATGTTGCCGTTTTTCTTTTCTATTGCTCTCTATCGTAGAGAGTGCGTGCGTGTACCTTTTAATTGCGGATTAAGGAGCGCGCTACCGGTGCTGCCGCTCTCTACTCGAGAAAAGGTACCACCGAGGAGTATCGCTCTCCGTAATTCGAATGTGAAAATTACGCGAGGCGCAATTGCGATTGATCGCGCGGAAGAAGATGCCAGCCGACGAAACGTAAGAGAAGCATTATTTAGCGACAAAAGCGAGAGATGTTCCGGCGCGCCCGCGAATCCTCGCGAAAAGAAGAAAAAATACTTGAAAAACGAAAGAGAAAGCAGAGAGAGAGAGAGAGAGAGAGAGAGAGAGAGAGAGAGAGAGAGAAGAAAAAGAGGTATAACACGCACGCAAAGGGTGTATGCGAGGAGTATAAGCCATCGTGATCAGCCAGTACTCACACGACCCAGAGAAGCGTAGAAACGGAGCGAAGAAAAACAGAGTCCAAGAATACTCGAGCGCACGCATACACACACGCGCGCGCGCACACGGCGACGACGAAAAAACCGAGCGAGCGAGTGCAACCCACACAGTCTCGCGTCGAAAAAAATAAAAAGAAGCTATAGAGCGCGGCAGAGCGAGCGAGAGAGACTCATACGCGCACACAGAGCAAGCGAGCGAGCGAGAGAGAGAGAGAGAGAAGTTGAGCATGGCCTTGGCCGCCGCTGCGGGGTAATTCAGTCAAGGTTTCGGCCGATGAACTTCCTCTCCGACTGGCGGAGCAGCAAGCAGGCGCAAGCAGCAGCAGCAGCGGCGGTGGCGGCGGCAGCAGCAGCAGCAGCACCAGCACCAGCAGCAGCAGCAGCAGCAGCAGTCGTCGCTGTCGCGCTCCGCGCGTTAGTGGTAGTGAGAATGGTGGGGGTAGGCGGCCAATCGGCGCTCAAGCCTCTGCGGCTCGCCATTGGCTGGCTCGGGGATCGGCATTGTCAGTGACCTCCAGCATTGAAAATGCGATGAACTCGAGTGTGTAGCGAGTCGCCCCTAGACCTCGAAAAGCGAGCCGCACTCTCTGTCTCGCTGCTCTCCCCCCACTCCTGTCCTCGTCTCGCTCGTTCCGCGGCGAGCCGAGCCGAGCCGAGCAAGGGCTGCAGCAGGTAAGCTCCACAGTCAGTCAGAGCAACGCGAGCCTCCCTCGAGCGCGGACTCACTTTCACTCACTCGCGCCAAGCAAGCGCGCTCGCGCCACGTTCTTCCGAACGCAGTCCGTTCATATATATCGTCCGAGGCGCACACCCTCGGCAGCTCACTTGCCGCCCGTCCGCCGCTGCGCCAACAACGTGACCGCGCGCGCGCGCACAGTAGCAGTCGTCATGTTGTCGTCAGTGAAGTGCAGTGATACCTAGTTCGCACGTGCAGTTCGGTTCTCTCTTTCTCTGCGACAAATTGCCCGGTTGTTATTCCCGTGAGTTGCCAGTGGATCTCTCGAGCGCTCTTGCGCGTCGACAAGAGCGAGTTTTACGATGATGATCCTGCCGCCCGACAGCAGCGCGCAGCCGGCGGCCACCAGCTTCGCGCAGATATTCGCCCAGCATCAGCAGCAACAGCACCACCATCAGCACCAGCAGCAGCACGTGCTCGCCGCGCACACAGCGCCGTCGCCGCCCGCGGCTATGTTGCCGACCATGGACTCGACGGTGTCGTCCGCGCAGAGAGCCGAGCCAGAGCTCAACATAGGTATGGCAGCGCGTTGCTTCCGCGGCTTCGTGCACGCTCGCGCCAGCGAGTGCCGAACAATGGCAGATCCATGCACGGCAGCTGCAGCGAGAGAGTAAAATAGAGGTCGTTGATTCGCGAGAAAGCCGAGCGCGTTATCGCTCTCTCTCTCGCACACTCGCGGGATAGTGAAAGCTGAAAGTTGCAACGCAGCGCATGCGATGCTGTAACTCTCAGGCGCGGGAGAGCGCGATGCGGAGAAAGTGCTCGGTCTCGCGCGCGTCGCCGACAGCTTACGTATGTGCTTACCTATATAGATAAATGTCGCGCGATGTGTGGCCACGCGAGAAAACGGCGCGCGTGTACGGCACTCGATAGGCAGACAGACGTTTGTTTTGTTTTCACTTTTCACGTGCCTTGTTTTCGGTATCCTTCGATACGACTAGATCGACTGCGAGAGGTCATCCGTGCGATTGATAAGTGCCCTGCAGGTCTCGGCAGCGTCTTGTCTCAAGTAAATACGAGATGAATATTTTAAAGAAGCTGGCGCACAGTTGCAAATGTGACATTACCGAGTGACAAATCGAGTACCTTGTTATTTCTCGTTGTGTTTTCGAAGACTTCGTTCCAAGTTCGAAGATCCCTGAGCCCGCGGTAAAAACCATTTGACATTGCTCCCGACGTTAGGCCCCAGCACACGAGCCACGGCTCCAAAATTTCTCGATATACGCTGTTTATTGCGAACGACAAGACAACGTGGACATATCGAAAGCGCGATGCGCAATATGAGAGGGCACGAGGAAAAGTCAACTAAAACGTATCAAATTTGCTTGTGCTTGCAGAATTCGATGGGACCACAGTGCTGTGCCGCGTGTGCGGCGACAAGGCCTCGGGTTTTCACTACGGCGTTCATTCCTGCGAGGGATGCAAGGTAAGCAGACCGACAGCGAGAATTGCTTGACGTTACGAAAAATGCGCAAGAGCCGCCCGCGCCGAGGAGAGGCTACGTTGTCGCCTCGAATTTCGCGAGCGAAGCGACGACGAGGCTGCTCCGCGGCTGCGACCGCGGAAGGCCAGCGAGCGAATGGGACGATCGCGAGGTGTGCATGAGTTGAAGGCCAAGCGCCAAGACGAAGAAGCTATCGACCGGGTCGGCCGCTCGCGAGCCAACAAGGCCTTGTACATTTTAAAGGCTCCCTCTTGGCGCTCGCTGCACGTCCGCCGCGTGCGAGCGCGAACACTAGGTCACTCTAGAAGCGGCGTCCGAGCTCGGATCGCCGCCGCGAGGCGAGCGGTCGAAAAATTGGCTGGGCGAAAACTTTAATATTCCGAGCGGCGGCGGCGGCGGCTGCGGTGGTGGCAGCTGCGTATCACGCGCGTTTATCGTTTCCCGGGCCGGACACGCGTGTAGGCGCGCGTGCGCGCGCGGTGCATTGGGGATTCGTCGCACACGCGGGCCCTGCAGCAGTGAGCCTGGTGGTCTCCGTCATTGTCCCTTTTTCAAGTGCACTCGTTCGTTGCCCTCTCGCGCCAAACCAGCAGCCGCCTCGCCCGTTTCCAGAAATCCCTCCTTCCTCGCCGCCGCCGTCGCCGCCGCCTGCACGATGCCGCCCGCGCGCGCACGCGGAATATTACTTTCACCCGCTTCTCTCCGCACGCATCTCCGGACATTTTAATTTCAAATTTCTTTCTTCTCCGACGGGCATGATGCCTCCGACGCGTCGCTCGACATCTCGAGAGAAAAAGAGTAGGTAAAACGTAGCCGCTCCTTTTTGTGCTTAGCATTCAAAAGACTGCGCAAACAACAAAATCTTGGCATTTTCGATTTTTGCAAAGACAATGAGTCGCATCAGCATTGTAAATAAACGTCTTTATACTTATTTCATGAACGAGCGAAAATTACGTATACGGTCGAGCGCTTTACGAAAACAAAACGATCTTTCGAAAGAAGAAAAGCTGAAAAAATTTTTTATATAACGCTTAACCTTCGCCAAAAGAGCGAGTGAACAATTGAGTTACGTAAAAAAAATGAGACCGAAAAGATTTCTATTTCAAATCCAGCGGAAAAAAAGAGCGACGACGCACACGTGCATACGCACACACACACACACGGTAACGCACACTTGGAGCGTCTCGAAGGCCGCGCGAGTCAACGTCCTCGATACGATTCCCCGTCTCGCGGCCCTGGGTCTCTCTTCCCCTCCACGCGCCCGTTCAGAAGCATTGCAGAGAGTAGGGATACATGAGAGTATATGCGTGGGACGGCGCGCGCGAGTTTAGCCCCTACCGGCCTGCTCAGCTCCGTAGTTAACCGAGGACCTCGTGAGAGTGCGCCAGGTGCTTGCCTCGCGATCGGCAGATCCGCTCCGACCGTTGCGTCGTGCGCGTCGCCCGGTTGGAGTTCGCGGCAGCGACTTTTGCGCTCCGCGTCCGCATCGGTTACTCGAACTAACGTCTCGAGTATTTGTAGCATTCGTATGATTACGCACTTGGAAACGCTCGGATGACTATTTGTTTTGCTGCCGATCCATTTAACAAATGTCTACGGTTAGTCGATGAATTGCTTCTCGGATTTTACAAAAACAAAAAAAAAAGGAAAGCGAAAACATTCTCAAAACGAAAACGCAGCTATGCCACAAAAGTCGCCGCAAACGTAACCGCCGGAAAATCTTCCTCTTGCTCGCTCTCTCTCTCTCTCTCTCTCTCTCTCTCTCTCTCTCTCTCTCTCTCCTCTCTCTCTCTCTCTCTCTCTCTCTCTCTCCTCTCTCTCTCTCTCTCTCTCTCTCTCTCTCTCTCTCTCTCTCTCTCTCTGTCTCCGTGTGTAAAAAATGAAGCAACTTTTCTCCGCAGCCCATTGAAATGATGACGAGGTTCGCTTTCTATTGATCCTTTTTCGGCCGTACATTTGCGAGGAACACGCAGACAAAAGAAGTTTTCTCGCACGGCATGTGGGCCACCGGGCAACAGGTTCTCTCTCTCTCTCTCTCTCTCTCTCTCCGCAAAATTCACAGGTAGCCGAAACCTCGGTATAGTAAGAGGAGGCGCTGCGTTGCCTAAATGAAGAAAAAAAAGAAAGACCAAGTCGTAACACACCCAAGCCGCAGTCGTTCAAATCGTGTATCTTTGGCCTTCATTAATCAACCGACACGCGGGACGAGAGAAATCTGGTCGTGTTGCGCTTTCCGCGCGGGAAAAACTTCTGAGGCTATAGGGGAGTGGCGAAGGGATAGAGAGTGTCCTTTATCGATTTTACCTGGAACGGCCGACTTTTCATACGACGTGCGTGCGACTTGTCTATCTACGAGCGTCGGCAAACGCATGCAAATAATGTAATAACAAAGCCAGAAGAAAGAAAAAAAAATTAGACGCGCGTTTGGCTCCAGTCTGCAAAGTTACTTAAGAACGCGGAAGAGAGAGACTAGGTCGCTCGGTCGCACTACTGTTGCACCTATTTCGCGTGGACGACAACCGAGAGAAGCTTAGCCCCCCCCCCCCCCCCCCTCTTCCTTCCATGATGCCTGAGTCTAATGCTCTCTCTCTTTCTCTGTCTCTCTCAGCGTACTAGCGTTCGCGCGCTCGCAAGCGGCGCTCGACCCATATTTGGCGCGTTGCACTTGCGCGTACCGCCGCCCCTCCGAGAATCTACGGAATCTATTATGATTTTCGAAAAGTTATATTTGACCGGGGATATCGATATATCTTCACCGTGCGAATATGTTATCTTTGCTCTGCAATCGGCAACGTGTCAATAACGCGAGGGTGTGCTCGAATTAATAAATTTCGGAAACGAAAGAGACTTTATCAAGTTCAATTGTTTATTCATATCGGGACAAAGCTCGTTGAAAAGAAAAAAAGCGATGGCGAAGAAGCGGATCGTAATGAGAAAAGATTTATCTCGTAAATTCTCGAAAAATCCAGAATCATATGCTTCGCAGTTGTCGGGGGTAGGGAGCAGAAGAGGGGTTGAACGGAGAGCAGCGGCCGGGTCTTTGACCTCGCGAGCCAGTTACGTCACACACTTGCGTACATGTACAATCTAGCTGCCACTACGCCTAGTGCAGCAGTAGCAGCCTCCTCTCTCTCGTCACTTTTGATGTCGTAACGAGTCGCGATCTCATTTTCATTTGATTGCGCTCACTCGCCCCCCCTCCCCCTCTTTTTTTCTCTCACAGAAGAGTAGTAGTATATTTGGGAGCTTGCGAGGTTACTGACCTGCACTTATATTATACTTGCAGGAGTGAATTCACTTCGGAAAATCGGGTCAGTCGTTATCTCACTTGCAGCTCGGTATTATCAATTGGGTCGTTACTGATGCGCTTCGAACGAGAGAGAGAGAGAGAGAGAGAGAGAGAAGAGAGAGACAGAGAAAAAAAGAGCCATTCTATGTGTGCGATACGAAAGTATGGAGTGCAAAGCTGCGTGCATGTGTGTGAGAGAGATCTAGGAGTGCAGTGGCCTAGCGCGAATTCTCGCTCGGGGTCGCGCGCCGGTTAATGCCCCCGAGCACGTACGTATAGAGAGAGAGAGAGAGAAAGAGAGAGACTGCCTTTAGCAAGCGCATGCGCTACGTCACCGTTACTCTCAGCATTCACCTTCTCCTCTCTCTCTCGTTCTCTTTCCAGGTCTCCTCCTACTCTCTTGCTGGCTATACGCTCCGGTCGTTCACCTCGCAGCTCGTTCACCCCCGCGAATGAGAGAGAGAGAGAGAGAGAGAGAGAGAGAGAGAACGACCACAACTGCACTGCAAGCTACTGCACACCCAACCCCTCCATCTCCTCATCCTCCTCCTCTCACTACTTACCGTCTGGGCGAGCGAACTATCGCTTTGCAATGAGAGTGACTCTGAAAATTATGCGCGAGCGAGACAACTCATCTCGTCGGACACTTGAGTACTGGGCAGATAAGCCTCTCTATATCCAGCGCCGCTGACATGTGCAATTTTCGCAGAATCTTCCCGGCTCTCCGCTTTTTTCACTCGCGATAATAAGCACTCCACGAGTGTTCCGAACAAAATCGAGTTCTGAACGAAGATAATGATACGACCAAAAGATATTCCTTGAACTTGCCTGTATTTTTATCGAAATTCATTTCGCAACTCCCTCGAATTGCCAACGTAAAGGCTTATCGGTTCGTTATCTACATTCATCAACTAGACTTTATGCATTTGTATGACGCTGATAGTGGCAGCGGTCAATAATGAGCATGCGAGAATATCGGGGGAAAGGGCTCACCGGAATATTGAATGCGCTTAAAAGTCGTGCCCGAGCAGGCGAAATAAAAGAAACGAACGTGCGTAGAGAAGAAGAAGAAGCAGCAGCCAAGGGCTTATCGGTTATGATGGAATAAGCAATCTCCACTGACCTACTTTCTCTCTCCCCCCGAAGAAAAAGCGCGTGCAGTTCCCCCGTTGCTGTGTCTCGCATCAATCGCAAGCTTCCCCCTGCAAATTCCAACGGCAGCATCTAGCTCCAGCCGAAAAATAGTCCAGCTCCGAGTCGTTCACCCCTCGGTAGGGGAGGTTCTCTTTCTCTCTCTCTCTCTCTCTCTCTCTCTTCCGCGTGTGTACGCCTCTTAGCTGGGTCGACGACCCGGGTGACCCGTTTAAGAGGGGTCAGGGAGAGGGGGCTGCAAGATCGATGCTCTCTCTCGTGCTCGCGGGGTTGCTGCCCTCGCTGCATCCGGGCTCACTACTCCGCCAATTAGCCCATTTTCATCTCTCGCACGATTTTTGCGTGGCGCTTGCGCGCCCCGACGTAGCGCCGTTACGTAACTGCAATCGCGCTCGCGCCCTCCTCCATCTCCTCGGCGACGAGGTCGTCGACCGGAGCTTGCGCTTGTCTACGGACTCGCCTTGCGCCTCGGCGACGCGGCCCGCGTCCGACAGCCAGCACCCTCGATCGCGCGCTCGCTCGGTGCGCGGCGAGAGCGAGAGAGAGAGAGAGAGAGAAAGAGAGACAGAGCGAGACGGAGCTTTTCGGATATGCGCGCGTGTACGCGATAGACGGGGAAGGGAGCAAAAGAGAGCGAGGCAGCGGCAGCAGCTCTCGAGGCTCGACTCTCACTTTCGCGCGGTGAACTGCGGGTGAACGTCCGGGAATTGGGTCAGAGGCCCCCACCTCGGAGCAGCAAGGCTCTCGCGTTCGCCGCCGCTGCTGCTGCTGCTGCTGCTGCTGCTGCTGCCGCTGGCGTATGTGCCGTTGCGCGCGTTCGCTCGCCTCGCGCCAGTCCACGTTCGAACTCCGCGACAAACGGTCGTCCTCTACGCTCAAACAGCGAAAAAAGCTCTCGCTTGCAGTCCACGATCGCGACTCAGTCGTCGCTGTGCACCATTTGCGCGAAAGTGTCGGCACTCAATCAAAGACCACTCGAGATTAATAAAAAGGAAGTAGCCTTCGGAGGACTTTAAGTCGAGTACCCATGGGGTGTCTGTGTGAATGTGATCTGGCCAGCGGTAGCGGTCGCTTAGAGCTTAGCAGCGGCGGCTCGGGTGGCTCGGGCTCATCATCCGATAGTGACGAGGGCTTCAACGATCATCGTGTTCGTTCGCAGGGCTTCTTCAGGCGCAGCATCCAGCAGAAGATACAGTATCGGCCCTGCACCAAGAACCAACAGTGCAGCATACTCAGAGTCAACAGGAATCGTTGCCAGTACTGCCGGCTCAAGAAGTGCATCGCCGTTGGCATGAGCCGCGATGGTGAGTATTATCTATTTGTCTGTTTCGCGCGTCACGAGTGTTCGCCGAAATAACGTCGGTTGCGAAACGAAAGAAAGAAAAGGAAAAGGAAACAGCCTTAGTTGATGCGAGCCTTGAGCGGCGAATAAAAAAAGCGAATTGTTTGCCCAATAAATTCATCGGGTTCGATAACAAAGGGGATCCGTAAACAATGACGCAAAACAGTCAGCAGAAAATTGCTCGTAAGTAGTACGAGTTCGCGTGACGGGAGCCTCGCTCGCGCGTAAGTAGATAAAGGACGCGCTTACATTATACACACACGCGAGCGCGCGAGCTCTCGAGGTTAGACTCATTGCTCAACAGAGATACGGAGGTCAGAGAAAAGAGCGTTTTGGAAATTTGGGTTGCCAGGGCATCGACCGTTTACGCAACTCGAGCGCCAGGCGCGCTTGTCTCTCTCTCTCTCTCTCTCTCTCTCTCTCTCTGTCGCAATCAACAGTGAACCAACCGAGCGAAAGTGGACGGATCTCCTTCAGCGTGAAAGTGTACCAATTCGGCGGGATGGTCCTGTTTTTATCGAAAGCGTCGCGCGTGGCTTTTGCAATGAGAGCTTGCGAGCCAGAAGCTCAGTAACGATATACGAGATGTGAAAACTCGAGACGATTGAGAATCGGAAGAATAAAGAAAAGAAAAAAGTCGCGCGTCTTTTTTAAACGACGCGAACGAGAGCTCGCAGTAATTATATTGATCTATCGTGCGCGCGCGCGGTCCAAGACATATATTGCGCGCTGGGGTCAACAGTCGGTCGTTGCTCGGATATTGCTCGCGTACAGCGCGCGCGGGCGCAAAGTGGTTTCCCGTACGGCGAGTACCGCTAGGCCGTGAAGTGGCGCCGCCGCGCGGAGACCTCGCGAACCTTCATCTCGAGCGGCGGCGATCGGCGGCTCGAGCGAAGGCGCGCCGCCTGACTATCGCCTGGCCCCTTCCACTTTAGCGCCGCCGTCGCAAGTTGAACACGCAAGCGTCGCTCATTCGGCCTTCGGCCGTCAACTCGCGCGCTTCGTTCTCGCGAGGCTTTCTCCGTCTCCTGGTTGTCGATCGTGGCGGTCGTCGTGTCGACGCGCAATCTCCGTGCAATGACAGACGGACGTATTTTTTCAGGTCTCGATCGACAATTTACAATTAGAAAGTTGATGCCTGAATCGACGGAAATGCGCGCAAGCTCATACCTTTTGCTTTTCTGAAACGTTGACGATCGATGCTTCCAACTTGAGAGCGAATCGTCCTTACTTGAATAAATATGAAAACAGCTCTGAACGACGGAAAAGAAAGTTAGGCGCGATAAGAAAAAGGAAACAGCTGGGGGTGCATCCCCTGGCGCGCAATAAAGTGTTGAGGTCGCGCTGTTCTCCCTTTAAAAATCGTAGCTAGCCTATGGATGGCGCTCACTCCCACACCCACACGCTCTCGCTCGGCACAGCCAAGTTCAAGGCCAAAGGCCGTCCATGTGCGCGGCCGCTCGCGTGTGTGCCTCTCGCGCGCTCGCTCGCTAAGGTTCCACGAGTAGGGGGGAGTACGAGAGAGCTACCGCGGCGCGAGTATGGTAGTGGCTGGCGATGGCAATGTGGGGCGGAGGGAGGGGGGAGAGCGAGCGAGGAGAGCGAAGTGACGAGTTGGGTGGGTGGTGGGGAGGGAGGTACAGTGCTCTCGCGCGAGACTCGGCTGTTGAACGCGAGCGCGAGCAAACTCACGTCAGTCGCGCGGCGATGCTACACGCGCTCGTATCAGCGCGGCAGTGCCATTTATCGAGGACAGCCGAGTCGTCGGCGAGGCGAAGCTGAGCAAGTTTTAGCGGCACGCGACAGGATAAGTTGATCGTAGCGACAGGCGGCGGTCGGGTTGTGTGTGCGGGAAACAGTTTCGCTCGTGTGTTGTTACGGCAGAGTTTTCAACATTTCACCGAAATTCGAAAAGCAGCTCATGTCCGCCGTCATGGGGGACGAGCTGCCGATCCTCAAGGGGATACTCAATGGCGTGGTCAAGTACCACAATGCTCGTACGTGTCGACGACCTTCCCCGAGAGCGACGCGCGCTTGCGACTCGTTGATTTGGGAAAGCTAACGTGCGTGCGTCCGTTGTGCTTTCTGTTGCAGCTGTGCGATTCGGGCGAGTGCCCAAGCGCGAGAAGGCACGCATCTTGGCGGCGATGCAGCAAAGCTCGCATAGCCGCTCGCAGGAAAAGGCCGTGGCGGCGGAACTCGAGGACGAGCAGCGCCTCTTGGCTACGGTCGTGCGCGCCCACCTCAACACCTGCGAGTTCACCCGCGACAAGGTCGCGCCGGTGCTCGCGAGGGCGCGCGAGTCGCCCAATTACACCGCGTGCCCGCCGACTCTGGTGAGTATGTTGCCCTCGGCGCCTCCCGCGGACGCCGCGCCCGCCCGCCCTTGTCCAGCGAGCCGTGCAAGTGACCGTGGACCTGGTGTGCTTTCGGTGTTACAGGCGTGCCCGTTGAATCCTAACCTGCAGCCGTTGAACGGCCAGCAAGAGCTCCTCGAGGACTTCTCCACGAGGTTCTCGCCGTACATCCGCGGAGTGGTCGAGTTCGCCAAGCGCATTCCGGGCTTCGGCCTTTTGGCTCAGGACGACCAGGTCACGCTCCTGAAGGCCGGTGTGTTCGAGGTGTTGCTCGTCAGGCTGGCCTGCATTTTCGACGGACAGACCAACAGCATGATCTGCTTGAACGGCCAGCTGCTCAAGCGCGAGTCCATCCACAACAGCAGCAACGCGCGCTTCCTCATGGACTCCATGTTCGACTTTGCCGAACGCGTCAACTCGCTCAGGTTATCGGACGCCGAGCTCGGCTTGTTCTGCTCGATAGTGCTCATCGCGCCCGACAGACCCGGACTGAGGAACACCGAATTGGTCGAGAGAATGCACAACAAGCTCCGAAGTGCACTGCAGTCCGTCCTCGCGCAGAATCACCCGCAGCAGCCAGACATCCTCAGAGAACTGCTCAAGAAGATTCCCGATCTCAGAACACTCAACAGTCTGCACTCGGAGAAACAGCTGGCATTCAAGATGACCGAGCAGCAGCAGCAGCTGCAAGCTCAGCAGGCCCAGGCGGCCCAACAGGCCCAGCAGCATCAGCAGCAGCAGCAGCAGCAACAGCAGCAGCAGCAGCAGCAGCAGCAGCAGCAGTGGCCAATGGAAGAGGAACCCGTTGCATCTTGGGGATCGGCCTCGGACGTGGCCATGGACGAGGCAGTCAAGAGTCCACTCGGCAGTGTCTCGAGCACCGAGAGCACGTGCAGCGGCGAAGTGGCCTCGCTCACCGAGTACCACCACCACGTCTCGCCAGCGGTCGGGCATCACGCGTCGAGTGCGCCGCTGCTGGCGGCCACGCTGGCCGGCGGACTGTGCCCCCACAGAAGACGAGCCAACTCGGGCAGCACGAGTTCGGGCGACGACGAGCTCCACCGGGCGAGCCTGGCAAAGACGCCGCAGCCGGCGCCAGGTCAGTGTCCGCGCTTCCGCAAGCTCGACTCGCCGAGCGACAGCGGCATCGAGAGCGGCACGGAGAAGGCCGACAAGCCGGCGAGCAGCAGCACGAGCAGCGCCCCCACGTCCGTCTGCTCGAGTCCGAGGTCCGCCGAGGACAAGGAGGTCGAAGACATGCCCGTACTCAAGCGCGTCTTGCAAGCCCCGCCCCTCTACGACACCAACTCGCTCATGGACGAGGCCTACAAGCCCCACAAAAAGTTCCGCGCCCTGCGGCAGAAGGACAGCGCCGAGGCCGAGCCCGCCGTCAGCGTCAGTCCCCACACTCAGTCCCAGCTGCACCTACACCTGACCTCGCCGCCGGCGAGAAGTCCCTCGGCGCCGCAGCCCCAGCAGCAGTCGACGCTGCAGTCGGCGCTACAGAGCCAGTGTTCGCAGAAGGCCAGTCTGCTCAGCAGCACGCACTCGACTCTGGCCAAGAGCCTGATGGAGACGCCGCGGATGACGGCCGAACAGCTAAAGCGCACCGACATCATTCACAACTACATCAGCCGCGGCGAGGTCAGTCTGTCGCCCAGCCGGTCCTCGCCGTCCTCCCAGGCGTGCTCGCCCTCCCCGGCGGAGCAGTGCGCCTCGACGACGACGACGACGGCGATGACGAGCGCCCGGTCGTCGCCCCTCCTGCACCACCCGGGCTCGCCGCAACTGATGCACTGCGCGGCCCAGTCCAGCTTCAGCGGCGCGCAGCGCTGGCCGGCGGGCACCTCGGTCATCACGACCACGACGAAACAGGACTATCTGGCGGCGGCGGCGCCGCTCGGCTCGCCGGCGTCCTCGCCCAGGTACCTGTCGGCGGCGGCGACGAGCAGCACGAGCACGAGTCCACGGCCCGCCTCGAACCACAGTGCCGCCAGTCTGGTGCTGCAACCCGGCAACGTGGTCGAGCTGCAGGTCGACATCGCCGACAGCCAGCAGCCGCTGAACCTCTCCAAAAAGTCGCCGTCCCCGTCGCCCAGGCCCCTCCTGCCCCAGGGCAGCTGCAAAGCCCTGTCGCTCGAGGCGTAGTGGGTCGCTCCAGAGACGACGGACGCAAATCGCACGCCGCAACCGGCCGCCGGCGCGCCTCGAGAGCCGCTGGGCGAGCGCCCCTGCGGTAGACGCCTACTCACCTCGAAAACCACCCACCCATCGCTGACCTGGGCCAGGACCAGGGTGACAAGTGCCAGGACGCTACGAGCGCGTTGATACAAACCAAATAATTTATTATTTAAAAGACGATAACGAGAAAAGAAACACGCGAGCAGCGGCGACAGCGGCGCAAGAGGATGGATATCCGTCTACGGGCGCATCGGCAGACAAGTGTGCTCGCTGTCGATGTCGTGAGTCGCGATCGGCGAAATAGATTCCGCTGGAAAACCGACGTGAAAAATAATGAAAGGATCTCGAGAAGCTAATGTGCTAATAATTACGTATTACAAAATCAGACGCTCGCGATTGATCAACTGTGCGGATCAGATGGGCGTGCGCGACATGATCGTCGAAGGGATCTAATGCAAGTGCCGCGTCTTTAGAATCCTAGCATGAATATTTGTTCTCTCTCTGTCTATCTCTCACCTGCGCATCCATCCACCCACCGGCAAGTCTGTCAGGAGAAGATTGAAGATTGGAGCAAGAAGACGAAAACTAGCAACAAGTTGCAGCAGCAGCAGCAGCAGCAGCAGCAGCAGCAGCAGCAGCAGCAGCAGCAGCAGCAGCAGCAGCAGCAGCAGTAGCGGCCACCTCCAAGTAAGCAAAAGAAATAATAACGCAAGAAGGACGTTTACGAATTACAAACAAACAAAAAATTGAGCGTTACAGCTATAAAAAAGATTAATAATCTATTACATGTGATAATCATGGAAATCGCGCATCCTGTACAGTCTCCACCTCATTCATCGATCATCTACTCTACTATAATTATTGAATTTTATGCAAGTAATTAATATTATTGTATCTCCTAAGGCATAGTGTATAATCGTATACAAAAATGATTATCATCTTGCATGTGAAAAAAAGTGTGAATGCGTGTTAGACGAATGCATTAAGAATGAGTGCGGACGCCTGTATATATTGGTATGTACGAAGAACATATATATATATATATACATCTATATGTGTGTATATGTATATATATAGTAATATCGGAGTAAGAGTCCGAGGCTATATTGACGAGTGTGGCGATATATACTGAACCCAAAGGGTTCCTGTGTGCGGTCATATGCAAGAACGCGCGAGTGCGAGTGTGTCGGGGCAATCGGACAAACAAAGTCTTTTGTCGAACGTTAATTAATTAATAATAAACAAATAATATAAATATATATTATAAAAACATTTGCGATATAAAGTTTTGTCAAATGAGACTGAACGGCCCACCGCGGCGGCCCCTTTCTCCCGTAAAGCTCTAAAACTCTCCTCCACCCCACTCACACCTCACTAATCTCTCCTACAATCTCACTGACTTCGTCTCAAAAATTCACCTGCCCACCACCGTATCTCCCCCGTAGCTGGAAGACACTCCAGAACAACCGAATTCGTGAAAGCAAATCAACAAGGTTTAGCACACCATTCGACTCTCAATCTATATATCATTGTTACAGCAACAAAAGTATATAACAAACAAAACTAAATCACTAGTGATAATGGTATAAACAGAACATACAAAATGAAGTGTCTACAAAAGTAAAGAAATAGCTCATTAGAGGAAAAATAATAAATTTTTTCGTAGAAGTAAATGTTAAATACAGAGTAATTATGTGTCGTGCGTATGCATGCATGTGCGAGAGGCGAGAAAGGCGAGAAAAAAAAAGACGCGTAAGGAGTTTACTTGTAAATAGTAGTCTCGATAAGACTAGCTCTTAAAAAAACGAACTTATAGACGCGTGGCGACGACGGCAAACTACGTCCTATTATCGAGCTCCTGTCAAACCTTACTCCAACACACCTCTTATCTCATGTATCCTTTGCTATATCTACTCATTTACAGAGAATAGGAAAGAGAGATCAATAATCAGCTTGTATTCGAAAGATATTTGTCTTTTTATTTGTTGAAATAAAAACAACCTGTATTGTATAAACTGCTCTCCTTTCTTTATGCATTTTACCCCCTCACGATGTCTAAAGTGAAAAAAGTGTTTAAAAAACATGCACACGCACACGCTATTCACGCAAAATGAGAAAAAACATTCTAATAGGAATATTCTTTCCTAGATTAACTTACTCCTTTTAACGCTCCCCGAAGAATCGAAACTTGTACCCTCCGAAAGAAAAAAAAACGCTAATGTACTATTTGCTCCTCGATGTATTTACTGTATACTTGGAGTCATTCCTGTGTATTATCCCTCGAATTTAAAGGTTTAAAGATAAAAAGAAGACGATGATTGTATATGAGCGAGCGTGAAAAAATAAAGACATTGTAACGGAGTATGTGAAAAGCATAGGCTTGCGCATCCCCTGCTACTTTATTATCAAAATATATCTGTGTTTATTTCTTGCAAATTCCGCAATTGTCAAAGAGATTCTATACCCCTCGTTCCTTATTTCCCACGATCCTGTCTACGATAATAACTATCGTTAAATTTTTTCCTCGTTCCCTGAACAGTATATTCCCTCCCCAAGCCTGTGCAGGAAACTAGCGTTGATAAATCGTCGTATACTGTTATGCATAAACTACACATAATAATTATTATAGTAAACGATACATAAAGTATGATATATTTCTCTATCCATTAAGGAGGAAGACTACAAAATACAGATGAAAGAAAATTGTATGCGCGCGAGCGTAAACCTTGTACACACCCACATACACAAAACACTTTGGAGTACACATGTAAACTGGAAAAAAAACTGCTCGAAATACCGGCACGAAAAAAGATGTGTACGCGTACATTGTAAAACAATTCTGAAGACACGTACAATTGTTGTTTTCTTGGCGAAGAACGAGTGGCAAAAAAACAAAAGAAACTGAAAAAAAATACCGAGGTACTCCGCGCAATTATACATAACAGCCCCGCATATTGCCCAGTGAGCACGTCATTTTGTACGCTTGGGAGTTGTGAGGTCGTCTGAATAAACATTTGTCTGGTGAATTATAAAACTATATCTTTTATTTATTAAAGAAACATTCTTGACATTATACCCTTTTCTTCCTTAATCAATTTTCATAAAGAATGTATTTCAAAAAGGAAACATTTAATCAAAGACTTGCCATCGGTTTTATTTCAATACAACTTCAGTTACATTACTTGAAAGCACTTCTTTATTTTCATTCAAGTTTCTAGCTTCTCAGTTCAATTAATTATCGTCGGTGACTTGGAGTCGTCACCATTGCGGCCCGGACCATCGTCATGATCGACAAACATCATCGTTGGGTCGTAATATCCCTGCAGCTTCCGAGAAATTTTGTTGGATGACATATTGTCAAAATGCCGAACAACGATAAGCTGACAAGGCAAATTGATTGTCCTTGAAAGTATAATAACGCATCGTGTTATCGAAGCATTTTTCACACCAAGAGCGCTTCCTGGAATTAGTTATCTCGTCCTTGGGATTAGTTGGGGCTTCAGAGCCGTGAATTAATCGAACGAACTTGCCATTATTGGAAAAAGCTTAATAATGTCGATTGAGCTCGATTGAGAAAGTAATTAATTTGATTTCAAAGTTTTCTTCCGTTTGCTCAACTTGTTTGAATTTCACAATAATTAAGTCTGCCACGTGCGCCTGTCGGTCGTGCCCGAAATAAACTTGAAATGTTTTTAATATTTTGAAAGTCGGCAATCTTTTTGTTCCTGAAATATTGATAAGTTTTGATGAATTAGGCAGAGCAAATATTAAGATTTTCTAGTTTTTTATCAAACTTTCACTAAAACAAAATTATGAATATTCTTTTGTCATCGCAGTTTGCGACTATAATTGTTTTCGAGGAAGCCGTAAATGAATCTTGGAAAATCACGCGAAAGCTCTAGAATCCATCCTCGTTGAGTTGCTCGAGCGACGAACCGCTGTCTCCGGCTGGAAACTGCAGCGCGGGCGCCATGAGCGAGCGCGACAGGTGGGCGTTCTATGCGGTTGCCCCGCGCAACCTCTGAACTCTAAACTTGAACTCCAGCCGAAGCTCAACTCGGCACGTGTCTGCGCTGTAGAGCACATTTGTCCGCGATTCCTATTTTCTTTGACATTCAGAGAAGTGGCCGCGCATGCGCTTCAATAGCTTCGCGAAAGTTTACTAAACAGTCGAGCGCAAAAAATTAACGGTAACGAGGGAGCTCGTCACCCTTTCGGATTGGCGCGTGCGGCAGTCTATCCACTCGATGAGAATCACATCTAGATTTCGAGGGGCTGATCGAAAGGTAGAGTTTGATGTGCCTGTTAGTCAGGTCGTAAAAACAATTACCATATCCGGCCAGTGCTTTCCTAGAAAACCAAAAAATCGAAATCGTTGACTCAGCGCTCTCAGATTAGATAAATTGCGCGAGCGCGCGGGAAAGTTGGTAACGGTGTATGGGCGCGCGGCCGAGTGATAAACGACCGGATAATAATTGGACTCGAAGCTTCTCTTGTACTCGCGCGCGAACGGACGGAGTGCAGTGACTCGTCTATTAATACGCAGCTCGGGGATGCAAATAACGCGCTAGCGGCTCGTGATTTATCGACTCGACGACTGAAAGCCTCGTCGGGCTGCTCGCGATTGACTTTCTCGATCGTACCTATCGTCTATTGACTTGTCGTCTAGCCGGCTCCGTCAAGTTCAACGATAACGCGCCAGAGATTTCAATTTCAGCGCGGAGAGGCGATACTCGGAGGTGAGCGTGAAAAGTATCGACCTGTTGACGGGCAAAAGACAAACACAGCAGCAACAACAAAGAAGCGACGAGCGGCGGGAAGCCTATTAAAATCCAATAAACCGCTAACAGCAGCGGCAGCAGCAGCGGCAGCAGCGGCAGCAGCAGCAGCAGTATCCCTGATATCTTTTGCAAGAGAGCTCTCTGCTGTTGCTCGCATTCTCAGACTGTGAAGCCGGTCTCCTCTTCTTTTCGTTCCGCGAACGTCGTCCCTCCTTCTCATTATTCGCTCGCTCGCTCGCTCTGCGTTTTTTCCACGCGAGAGAGGCCCCCAGTCATAATGCTTAGGACGAGCCCTGCCAATGCTCAAGGTCTGAGAGCGAGCGAGGTCGCAGACACATCCGACGCTACGACCGACCGCGCGAGGCCGGCGCCCTTTCTTTTTCTCCTCTCGTTGCCGCTGCAGCTCTCCCCCGTCGGCTCTCCTCGCTTTTCTTTGTTGCGTCTTATTTTATCGACAGATATCTCGTCGGGCTTGCGCAAACATCGCCGATTCGGCCGCCGCAGGTCGAACTTGTAACCAATTAGGACGGGGACTCCCTTCTTTCCTCTCTTTTTCTGCTCTCTTCGCACCTCGACGAGAAAGAAATTGGCTTTATAGCTCGACATCCAGAGAAAGGCTCTATTTACATCTGTCGCTCGCGCGCGAACAATGACACGTCTAAAATCATACACGCGAGCACAAATGCGAGCGGAGTAAAGAGGAGTCGAGTTCTCAAAAGGCACGTCGTCTTCGTCGTCTTCGTCGTCGTCGTCGTCGATAATGGCGCGCGGGGACTACTCTCGCGCGAGAGCGCGTGGCACGAGTTTCTTCAATGAAACTCAGCGCTCTTTCTTTCTCTGCGACTGCCACCTCGCCAGCAGTAGCAGTAGCCGACCTCGCTTGCTGCACATTCATATAGCTAAGCGTACACGCACACGCGCGCGCGCACTCATTCTATTTTCATTTTTCTCTTTTAAAAGCGTCTATTTCTTTTAACTCTTGGCTTTTATCTTATCGTCGAGTTGACACAGCTTGCACCACTCCTTATTAGTATAATAACATACAGAATGGATCGACTGTCCTTCGTGCGTGTGTGCAACCGCTCAACCGTCGTTGGACGGCCCTTGAACTATATACACGTGAGAGAGACGGAGAGAAAGAATTGGAAATAGGCCGTTTCTATTCATGGAATTTCAAATTCTATTAGACGCGCTATGCATAGAGTTGTTTTCCGGTTTTCAAAGTCTGCGTGATTCAAGGCCCTTCTTTTTCGAATATTTTGTAATGGTTACACAGCGACTGTATGTCTACTTTCAAGTTCGTATCTGCGTGACAGAAAGCCGATAAGGTCTGAGCAGCATTGAAATTTAATAATATTCCAAAGAGAAAACGGCGCTCGATCGAAAACTAGAATCACTCGACTTTTTCGATGAGGTGAATCCCAAATGAGATATGTATAAAAAAAGGCTCGCGCGCGAATGTATCACGCGTCAACGCAACCCCATATCGAGTTTAACAATGTGTCGTGCGCACATAAACGCGCGAACAGATGCAGGTGAGCGAGCATCTGCATTGCAAACCAGGAACCACGCTGGCCTTCCGTCGCGGCACATTTTCTTTTCTTTTTTTACTCTCTCTCTCTCTTTTTCTTCCAAGATACTCGCGGTAATGTATACTTGCCACCTTGAACCGGTCACCGTACGTCTCTCGCGCAGAAGAAAAGAAAATTCCGATGACGGCTGCAACAATGAAGGCGCGCGGGATTAACGACGCGCCGATCGACGAGCGAAATATTCAGTACGCGAGCGTACTCGTGGCCGAGCGCACTTCCGCGAGTGCACATCTCCTTTGTCTTCTCGCTACCTCCCGTGATTCAACTAATTTTTCGCCGCAGCGCTTTATTTATTTTCACGAGTGAGCTTCTCGCTCTCGCGTGCGCGCGCGCGCGTCGATAACAGAGCAAAAGAGCCCGTTTTCCGGGGCTTCCAAGGTCGACGGGGTAGATCGTGAAAGTCAACACTCGTTCGTTTTACCGTTGCGTGCGCATAGTGCATTGACTCTCGCAGGTGCGCGCGATAGATCGGCGCGGGATTTTCGGGGTACGAAATTTCGCTCGGGGACAATGTTTTTTTCTTTTTCCCTTCTCGCCGACGATGCTAATTTCCATCGATCGAGACCGCGAAAGTACACCGACTTGGAAGTGAACGAAAGTGGTTTGCTGGTTATTTTCGCTCGTTCCGTGCGTGCGAATGGTTTCAGGCCGATTACATCGTTCTTTCCGATCGTCTACCATTGTTCTTGCATGTGGACTTGGCGAGTTATGCATTATTACAGTCGATTAGTTTAAGTGACTGTAGGATAAACCTACAACTTATCGCGATGGATGTGAACGTTAAGATAAGAAAGCGTGAAATTCTTGCCAACGTTTAAGCTAGTGACGTTTTTATTTTAGTAAATTACGCCCCACATCAACACCCTAACGAAAGCTGCAAGCGAATCTTAAAAATCTCATTCGAACAACGTTAGTCGCGGTCGCGCGTTGATCGATCCGAAAAGTTCCATCGAAGCGCTGCGGCAACAGACGCAAGACGGGGACAAGAGCCGGCATCGCGCACAGAAGCAGCGCCAGCAGCAGCAGCCGTCCGGCTAATCGGCGCGTTTGCCTGTTAATCCGCGCTAATTTGCAGAAAGTGGTCTTTTCATCGTTCCAGGGTCTACCGTTGGCTTCTACACCATTCGGGGACACATCATCGTAAAAAAAGAGCGCCAAGTAGTCGAAAATCGCCGAGGCTGTACTGCGGCTTCGAAAGCGAGATCTCTTCTCGTGTTAATTCGCTTGTTTGAACCTGCGCGCCTGGGACTTTTTTTTTACGAAATTAATTCAATTGGTTGAGTGTAGAAAAACGATCGTAATTTCGTGCGGGACGATGGAAAAAGTAATAAATATGGATAACGGTCACTTATGCCGCTCGAGTTCACAGTTTTCAGACACAAGGATAAGATTACATAAATGTTACTTACAAGTGGCAGTCAGCCATCCGTGTATCTGCCCTCGAGAACAATGGCCCATCCCCTCGAAAGCGCCAAAGTTGTGAAACGTTTATCGAGGGCGTATCTTTTTTCAAACTCGCTCTCTCCTCGCCTATCTGCCTTCGTGTAAACTCGAGGAGAGCCTTTCGTTAGGTGTCGCCTCATAAATTTGACTACGCGATTCGCAGCGCACGAAGGTCAGATTCGCGCGTCGGAGATGAACTGCGAGGGATTCTTTATTTTCGGCTCGTCGTTGCAA